TCCTTCCAAGATGCAGGACTCTACACTTCCTTTGTTGAATCTCATCTGGGTTCTTACCACCTAGTTCTCTAGCCTGTCCAGGTCTCACTGAATGGCAGCACTGCCTTCAGGTCAGCCTCAAGTTCTTAAAATGAGACCTTAACCTCAATTTTTTAGTAATACGCTTCATTGTATCCTGTATTTAAAAAAAAAAAAAAAAAAAAAAAAAAAGAGAAGTTATGACACAATTTAATGATTTAGACTGAAAATATGTTCTGCTGGTGACTGTGATACTCGTGACACTTAAGTAGAAGGTTCTAAAAAATTGCAGAAAGTACTTTTTTCGTAACGTTTGTATTTGTAGGAGGTCTAATAGATATTATTATTATTGTTACTTATTTTTATTATTATTTTTATTATTAATTTATTTATTAACACAGGAATCATTCTTGTTTGTTGTTCTTATTCCATAGTTATGCTAAAATTATTTTAATGTGATTAGCTGAACTGCTATATCACAATGCATGTATTCAAGATGAATAAAATTTTCTCATGGACAAATATTTGAAAGAAGATTCATAATGTATGCTGTCCTCCAGCTGCCAGAGTTATGCTTGAAATAGAACACCAGGAGTTTCTCTAAATTTCTGGTAACCATGACAACTGTTACTTTAGTGTGATTAGCCCAGTGTAATTTAGCAGGGTTAGTTGTGAGAGGTAAATTTAGCTACAGTGCAATGATATTCTTTATTGTAATTTGAAATCATATTTAGAATTTGTATTTTAAATACACTTAATCCTCATCCTGAAGCATGTTTAGTACTTTGTGAGCCTTACTTTGCAAAAGGGAGTGACTGAGACCTGGGCAAGTTGGGGGTTTGTCCAAGGCCTCAGAATGAGTCAGAGGCAGAGCTGTAAAACGTGTACATTGCTGGTTGCCATGCAACTGTGCACCTCTTAGGGCTTAATGGATGCCAGAATTTGAGCCACATAATTTCCTCCCTTTTTCTCCATTCAGAATATGTTTTATACACGTACACATCTGCCCCTTCCCTGTAGCTATTTCTTTTTCATTCCCGAAGTAAGAAATTTTATTACTCATGAAACTCACCACAGAGATAGATGCTCTTGTGAAACTGCACAAATTCTCTGCATTCTGTGCAGAAACTAAGTTGGATATGTTTAATTCCAATTTCCAATTTGTTTAAATAATAGCAAGAAGAAAAAAGGGAGATAATTTTTACTGTCATGAAGGTAACAATGGAAAATGCAATTTTCTTAAAGCTTTACACACTGAAAGTAAAGATGATCGATGTGCCTGATGGGAGGGGGGGGGGAGGGGAGGAGAAAGAAAACAAAAAGAACAAAACAAAACAAAAAAACCACCATGAATTCAATTTAGGAGTGTACCATCATTGAAAAAGAATTCATTTGTAAAGCATTTTAAAAAATTGGATGTGATGGGAGCCTAATTCTGTTCTCATTTATCATAGGCAGATATCTTTTGGTGTACACTGAGGCAAAATAGGAGTCAAGTGACATTTGTATCTGCTCTTGTCTTGTATAAGGTGCCAAACAATGGAAAGATGTGTCCACTAAGATTTAATATGAAAAAATGTAAATGAATGCAGGTAGGAAAAGTAGTACAAGTAATTTCATTTAAATACTTTGAAGAAGTTTTGTTACATTCCGGCTTATGTATTAATCTATGGTAGAGCAAGTGTTTTTTGGGGGTTGATTCTGTAACAAGGGTTTGTTTTTTAAATATAATTTGTCACTGTACTTTCTTGCAAAAGTATATTTGACATATTTCAGCCTTGGCTTTATTGACAGAGGACAAAATTCACTTTTTGAGGAAGTAAATCCTTTGAATTTTTCTCAGTCTACTTTAATTGTAATTTAAAATATTTTCCAAAATCACTATTGCTCTTTGCCTATTTGGTAACATTTTAACATGTTCGCTAGAGTTTCCTTTTTATTTTCTTTGTACATCAATACTGCCTGTGCTATATAGATAAAAGATTGACTATAGCTTTGTTTGCTGTGCCTTTATGTACCTATGCATTAAAAGACTGAAATGGCAGGTTTTGTAGAGTCCCTATAGGCCAATACTGAAAATTATTTCTAGATGCTTAAGACATCTGAGTAGTTCATACTGCTTTCCTTTTGAATCCTAATTTTCAAAATTTGGATGAAATTTCAGTTGTTACGTCAGGGAGAAATCTGCAAGTTTTATGAACTTGTAAAGGAGACTACAATTTTGCTAGTCATTATTTTGTTTGTCTCATTATGTCCATGCAGATTTGCGCATCTGACTTACGTGTGAGAGATGACACGTGCAAAGTAACATTATCCAGATTACAGTGCAATTTCTTCTGTTCATGCAGAATAGCATGCACATACCGATGTATGAGCAGATCTGCTCTTTGGTGATTTGGCAGCTCGAAAGGCAAATGGGATCCTGGGCTCCATCAGGAGAGGGGTGGTCAGCAGGGAGAGGGAGGTGATTGTCCCTCTCTACTCGGCTCTTGTGAGGCCCCATCTGGAGTACTGTGTCCAGGTGTGGAGCCCTCAGTACAAGAAAGACATAGAGATTTTGGAAAGGGTCCAGAGGAGGGCGACTAAGATGATCAGGGGGCTGGAGCACCTCCCCTATGAGGACAGGCTGAGGGAGTTGGGCTTGTTCAGCCTGGAGAAGAGAAGGCTGCGGGGTGACCTCATTGCAGCCTATCAATACCTGAAGGGAACCTACACCCAGGAGGGGAGTAAACTCTTCAAAAGGGCTGACAACAGCAGGACTAGGGGAAATGGATCCAAGTTGAAGGAGGGAAGATTTGGGTTGGATGTTAGGGGGAAGTTCTTTACAAGGAGAGTGGTTAGGCCCTGGAACGGGCTGCCCAGGGAGGTTGTGGATGCCCCGTCCTTGGACGTGTTCAAGGCCAGGTTGGACGGGGTCCTGGGCAACCTGATCTGAATGTGTACGTTTGGTGGCCCTGCTAGGCAGGGGGGTTGGAACTACATGATCCTTGAGGTCCCTTCCAACCCAGGTGATTCTGTGATTCTGTGATTCTGTGATTCTGTGATTCTGTGATTCTGTGATTCTGTGATTCTGTGATTCTGTGATTCTGTGATTCTGTGATTCTGTGATTCTGTGATTCTGTGATTCTGTGATTCTGTGATTCTGTGATTCTGTGATTCTGTGATTCTGTGATTCTGTGATTCTGTGATTCTGTGATTCTGTGATTTAGATCTGTAATAGGACTTAGTATCTCCTGGAATTTATGAGATTTAGCATCTAAAAATTGTGATGGGATTGTAATTACAGGGACCTTTGTGCAACTATGAACCTGAAATATACACCTTGGAAATCATGGAATCATAGAATGGCCTGGATTGAAAAGGACCACAATGATCATCTAGTTTCAACCCCCCTGCTATGTGCAGGGTCACCAACCACCAGACCAGGCTGCCCAGAGCCACATCCAACCTGGCCTTGAATGCCTCCAGGGATGGGGCATCCACAACCTCCTTGGGCAACTTGTTCCAGTGTGTCACCACTCTCTCTGTGAAAAATCTTGTTTACCTGTTGTGACACATAAAATTCACAGTTGCCAAAGATTCTTCTTAGTTATGATGGTGCTGAACCTGAGTTGATTTGTGCCTGTTTTCGCTGCTCAGTCATCTAGGCAGGTTTTAAGCACTGCTTTAAGAGTTTGTTTGCCTTAGAAGCTGACCTTCTTCTAATGAATTATTTCAGAGGTTGAAATACTCACTTTAGGGTACAGGAGACAGATGTGGAAAACCATCTGTTCTTGAGAAGATTTGGAACCTCATATATCAAAAGGTGAAACTTCATGTGTACATGTTAAGATGATACTATTTAGTCTAGAGAAGGCTTGGGGAGATCTTGGTGGTGCCTGGTACCAGCACAAGAAGCAATTCTTTCATACAGAGACAAAGAGAAAAGTACCTAAGACATGTAAGGACTTCTTTACTGGGATTTCCATCAAATTCAAATTAGAATAGAGAAAATTGATTGGCCAGCAGAAGTTTGAATATTGTGTGTACATCCATAGTATTGCATGTCATATGTCCTGGGCACTAACTCTTTCTAAAAGCTTTAAAAACATACCTATAAATTAATTATCTTGAATGAACTTTGTTTTTGTTAGTCTGGAGAGTGATGAAGAATGCCCACATGCTATTTGCCTCTATTCGTTAACTCTACAGATATTTAAAAAACAAATAAATAAAAAATGTGACTCTGTCTTCTAACTGAACATGAAATTGAGGTAAGGAGTCGTGTTCAAGTGTGACTTAAAAATTATTTGGCCGAAGTATGTATTTATTGAAAGAATAAGTAAATAGAAATGCAGGAAAAGAGTAAGAGAGCAGTCATCCTTCCGCTGAAACTTTCTGGCAGAGCTTGCAGATAAGTTTTCTATCCTTGTACTTTTTTTTTTTTTCTGTCTATACAGTCTGTCTGAGCTTTTTTATCAAAGGTGTTGTTTGGAGCTGGGTCTTTTACTGTGTTTTTCTTGAGCTGAAGAAGAACTTCCATTTCTTGACTGGTAGATATAACAGCAAAAGTAATTAACTTGGCTATCAAGAATATGCTTTTCAAATTAAAGGGCAAACTATTTATTCTTGTCTGTTCTGTTCAGAAAGGCAATGTGAACAGCTGCAGCTGGGAACTGCATATAAACAAGAGTTTGCCTTTGGTTTGCAAGCTAATTTTTCAGTGTTTTGGACCTTGAGTGGAAAAGAGAGCTCATTCTATGCCTTGGCTTTGCAGACAGTTTCAGGAAATTGTTTTCAAAGGTGGCTTTTTTTGCGGGGACTAATTAATCTCCTTCTTGCCTATCAGTGCTCTGAGCAGGCACAGGGATCTTGTGATCACTGTCTAGAAAAGACGTTTGCTTGACCAGGGGATAGATTTCTCTGAAGCAATTCATGTTAATGTTGTGACTTCCAAAGTTTACATCACTATTGTTATGTTTTGTTTTTACCTTTTTCTTCAGGTGCAGAAACCTTACGTTTCCTGACAGACTTCCTGAGGTCAGCATTGTATTCATATTTGTTAATGAAGCTCTCTCAGTGATTCTGCGCTCTATTCATTCCGCTATTGACCGGACTCCAGCTCACCTGCTCAAAGAGATTATTTTAGTTGATGATAACAGTAATAATGGTAAGAGATTTTGGTTGTCCTTTGTTGTTTGCTTTCATAGAAGTTGGATCATAAAGAAGAATCCTTGAAGTCTGGTTCCTATTCATGCCGCTAGCATTTCAGAGCTTTTCAGCGTGTTTTCTCCTTTCCTCATATCACAACTGGGCTTTGTCTTCAAATATACACAACTAGCTATGTTTAAAAAGAGAATGTACAGATATAGAATACTGTTTCTTTATGTTTAAGGCGTTTTGTAAGCAGAATTTTGAGTATAATGACAGATCAAAGACCTAAGATGCTTTATGGTTCTTAGTACTTTAGTATGCTTTGAAGATTCTATGCTTTCTCTTCTCTTCCTGTTTCAGTTGCATGGTTTCATGTTCTTGTATTTCTTAGACATCTCCTTTAGACTGCTAATACCTTTTCTCTTTCTCTTATTCTCTTCTCTGTTTTGTCTGTTCATAGGTTTTCATTGGCAACATTTATCTTGCTGCTTTTCTACCATATTAAGATTTTGTTGTCCATGTTCTGAAAGACTGGACTGCTTACTCCTAATTGCCCAGACTTGCCTAGTTTTTTTTTTTGTTTGTTTGTTTTTTTTAGTGAGCCCATGCAGGGCATTATTTACAAATCCTATTTTCAGGTAACTTTACCATTGAAATGTTAATAAACATAGTTAGATTGATTTTTATGATTTGACTTTGCTGTGGGGGGGGTAATTCTGATCTACTAAAATACAAAGAAAATCTGAGTTTGTCCGGTTGAAATACAGCACTGAACAAAGGGTTCCCCTATCCTTACCACCCTTACAGCTGTTATGTCATTCCTGAAGCTAGATCCTGTGACTTGTTGCTGGTCATACATCTATGTTGGATTTGTATAGCAGAGAAACTTAATTGTAAACAATTAAATAAGTTCTCCTTCCCATCATCATTATCATTTTTATCATCATTTTTTTATCATCATTTCTTTTTCTGGTGGCTATCAGCAAAGGAAAATACAAAACTCTGACTCTTTAAGTATACATGAAACCCGATAATTTGATTTGGGTTTTATCAAATGTAATTCTAGGCCCTGTGAGTATTGCTATGTTTAGGTTTACTGAAGGCTGCCCAAGCTGTTGTGGAAACACCTGCTCATGAAACAGTGAAGGTAAATTGGCATGCAGGATTTATAAGTTGTTATTCTTTGTTTATGGCACAATTTATGGTGTAGCAATGTGATAAAAAATTAAAAGAAAAATTGCTTCAAGCAGTAAACTTTGAGCAAAGTAAAACAAAACCACACTTACAAAACTGCCAAGTGTGCATGCACTTATGCATAATTCAGAAATTTCTGAGCTGAGAGCAGATTTTTGTTTTGTTTCAACAATGCATTTCACATATGGTTTTGTTGATGCGCTACTGCTGCCCTTGACTTTCCACTTGGGAAGAACTTTAGCAATACAATATTGATACATAGCCCATGGTCTTGGGCTCTGGCATGTGTTTGTAAAAACTTCCTGCAATCTTTTGAAGAGCTCTAGCTATTATAATGCTGGGATCTCGGTGAATTTGATTGAGTATTGGTGCTGCAGTGCCTGAGGCCTCTTACGTACAAACTGTTCATAAGATGATCACGGATGAAGAAAAATTATTTGGCTGAAAAAAGAGGTTTCTAGAGTTTGAATTTCTTTTTCTAGAATTGATGGACATTTATTCCAACAGGCACTTTGCAGAGCCATGTCAGAAACATCAGACATTTTAGTGGCCTAACAAATATGATTCTTGCACTCTGCTCTAAAAGTTTCTCAAAATTATTTTCTATAGTATTTATTACCTGAAATACATAAGAAACCCCAGGGGCCACTTAAACTTCCAGGAAGACCTGTTCAGCCACATCTTGTGTTTGTACCAGCATTCATACTATATGATATGGTATTTTTATGATTCACTGTGCTTTTTATTCAGAACTACCTTTCTTCTCCTCCAGCACCTCATTTCCTTACATTCCTGACCCCAAACAGAAAGACAGTAATTGAGAGGAAAATAATTGTTGGTTTGGCTGCCTTGTCTTGGTTGTGTATGTCATTCTTTAAAAAAAATCACACTGTGCAGAATGGTACTTAGTTGCCTAGAAAAATATTTCAGGATTTGCTACTGATCCTTGCTGTGGTTTACCTTGGCAGGTGGCTCAACATCACATGGTCCTTCTCTCAATCCTCCCTTTTAGTGGGGTGAGGGTGAGAACTTGGGGGGGGGGGGGAAACAAAAAAAAAAACCCAACAAAGTGGAACTCATGGGGTGAGATAAAACTATGGTCTAAGAATGTCTATATGAATTACTGTGAATGTCTATAACAAGTGGAGCAGAAACAATTGCTCACCATCCCCTGACCAAAACCCAGCTAGCCCCTCAAGCAGCAGCAGAGAACTCCTGCCTCCTGCAAAACTCCTTTTGCTTGATGTCATATGGTATGGAATATCCCTTTGGACAGTTTAAGTCAGCTGTCCTGATTCTGTTCCCTCCCATCCCCTTGGGCCCTTAGCTGAAAATGGCCTCAGCTCTGTACAGCACTACTTAGTAGCATGTATAAACATCAGTGTGTTTTCAACTCTGTTTTTCTCCAAGAACCAAAACGTAGCATCTCTGAAGAAAACAGTTCCACCCCAGTTGAAATTAAGACACTTCTCCAAACCTTCCTCAGCTGTATCTTCACCAAAGTGGTAAAATTCCTACTGAATAGATTCCTACCTAGATTCTCTTTATCCTAGAATTTTTGCTGAAGGCTTGGTAATAGCGTTTTGAGATAGATGTTTGGTAGGAGGAGTGATTATAAATATGAGTAGGGTCTTTTCTGTTACTAATTTAAATGTTGAGGTATTTATTTTACTATTCACTTTTACAATATTCTTTATTTCTGCTTTTTTCCTCCTTTTTAGCATCTCTGAAACTAATTCTTTGTTTAGTGTCGTTTTAAGTATTTGTTCATATATATAGCTCTTCAGCTTGTGGCTGTTAGTGCTTGAAAGATAAGTCTGTTACTCAGTTTCTCTGTGAAGTGGCCTGAGCAGGCGAAGCTTGCTTTGTGCCTGCATCTGGCTCCAGAATTCTCGGAGATCTGTGGGAAGCCTCATTATAAGCACTGTGTTTGCTCTGATGCTTTTGCCAAGGATGGCAACTTTTATACCTTAATGTAAGATTTTTTTCAGTGAGGCTGTGGCCATGGATCTCACAGACAAGAAATATCACAGTATGGGACGTGACTAGAAAGAAGAAAGTGAGGACAAAGATCAGGCAGAGTGCAAATGATCATGTTTTATTTTGAGCCTCTTGCACTATTTGGTTGGATTCGCATAGCAGAAAGGTTTAAAACAAAAACAAGTACTGTTGTTGACATTAGAAGAGGGCACTAAGATTTCTTGCTTTTGAGAGGGCATTATATGCTGGAAAAGCAGCTTAAGTTCCCCTTTTCAGTCCAAATTTTAAATTTAATAACAAGCACCTGAATTATTTCCCAATTTCAATAAATCTTGAGTGTTTCAGAAAAGAACAGCAGAAGAACTGATTGCTTGTTAAAATTCTGGAAGGCTGATTTCAGAAGCCATATATTCAAGTATGCGGCCAAAGCCTGTACATTTATCTCAAACGATATGAGCCCTAGTTCTTCATGCACTTCAGGGTGTGTCAACCAAACTATCTATGACTTCTTCTAAACCTTAGTGCAGTTTTTCAAGCTCCCAATTATGTTTCAGGAGACCTCAGTTATCTTTATGAAGCATCCTCTTTTTTACATGAATGTTTCAAGTTAGCAAATGGTGAAAATGCCAATGTGTGCCCTTTAAATGCAGAAAATAGATTGGACAGGTCCAAAAATTTGATCTTTCATTTTAAAAAAACAGTTTGCATGGCTTAGTGTATGTATTTCATCATGTATCACATTCCCACATAACATTCAGATGGTTCGTATGTGCTGCCGAGTACATTATTATTAAAATTCAGTTTAATAGAAAGGTAAAGAAAAAAATACATTTCTGTGACTGCTTGTGCATGCTGTAAAATGAAAACAAAAGATTTATTTAAAAGCAGAAACAAACAAACAAAAACAACAAAACAGAAAAATACCAAATGGAAGTTCTGTTCTGGGTCTCATTCAGTTCTCACATTGTTGTGAAATTGATTAACTGATTTCAGCTGTTTCACTGTAGTTTAAGTGCTATCTGTCAGATCAAAATCTTTCCCAGTCTCCTCAGGAATGCTGTTCTCCTTTCAGAGGTGGCAAATGTACTCATTTGTTTATAACTCTTGACAATACAATCACTTACTGTTTTTTTGCCTTCAGAAGAGGCAGAGATTTCCAGCTGGCTCTTTGACATTGATGGAGAGGGATTTGCACAGAAAAGATTTTAAAACACCTTTAAGTGCCCCTTCCCAAACCTGCCAATGGTTAATTAGACCTCAGAAATGTACTTAGAAAAAGCCATGTTTGAGCTGCAGATGACTGAAATAGCATTTTATTCACCCTCTGACTTCTCCTGTCCTGTGAGGACAAGGTGCTGACCTGTGCCAGTGGAGTTCTGCCCTGGCTTTTGAGGTTTTTTTGCTGACATTGAGCCCTTCTGCATTATCAAGCAGATCCTGAAGATATTTTAAGCTGATTTGAAATCTATGTAGAAGTTATGTAGTGAGTTATGATGTCTTCAGCTTTGTGGGGAGGCAGTAAGCATTAGTGTGTCCAGAATATGCATAATAAAATTTTGTATTATAGCAATAATTATCATTCTCTCCAAAATTTTTTTTTCCATATTAAAGTTAATAAATGTTGTAGTAGAATCTTGGATTTCATAAAGTTTCTTCCTTTTTCTCTGAATCATTTCTAATGAATGAAATATTCAAACACGTTCAGTTTAACCATTATTGTTCTTTGTCCCGAATATTCCTTAAATACAGGTATTGAATTGCATTGAAATTGCTGAGCGTCAGAAGATTTTTTTGATTTATAGTGCTGAAGGTAATGAGTGAAAAGAGGTAGAAAGTGGTCAC